TGGGCCAAGACCATGCCACTGCACTCCAGCCTGGTGACAAAGCGAGACTCGGTCTCAAAAAAAAAAAAAGAAAAACTACAAAAAATGAGCCAGGCATGGTGGCAATGCACCTATAGTCCCAGCTACTCAGGGGACTAAGGTGGGAGGATCATGTGAGCCAGGAGGCAGAGGGTGAGCAATGATCCTGCCACTGTATTTCAGCATGGGAGACAGAGTGAGACCCTATCACACAAAACAAGACCCTCTCCTTAGCCCTTTGACCAAGCCAGAAGATACCACCTAATGCTGCCTACAGGGAGCACAGGAGAGGATAACGTTTGCTGAAATCATCCCGTAATTAAAAAAAAAAAACTCATGGCTGTGAGTTGGGGGCTACTGTCTCTAGCCTGGGGCAGGTCTGTTCTCCCCAGCAGCAAGAGGCTTATTAAAAGGTACTGACCCTTTATCACCCAAAGGCACGCTGGTGCTGCCGGGCCGTCTGTCGCTGCCATCTCTGTTCTTGCTGCTCCGTCCAGAGGCTGGGCCACCTGTTCGGTTTGGGGACTGATCGTACACAAGGTTCCGGCAGGAAGCGAGTTTGGACTCCAGTGCCTGGAGAAAAATACACTTTTTATCTCTCAAGTTATAGGCAAGGACTATTCCGTCTCACCAGAGCCCGTACAGAGGAAAGAACCCCAGACAGTGGTTCTCAAACTGTTGTGCACTGGAATTCCAAGGTGGGACCCCAAGAGGAACCCAATGTATATGCCAGTCTCAAAACCAAGCACCTTAGGTATTTGGGAGCTGGCTAGGCACAATGGCTCACACCTGTAATCCCAGCACTTTGGGAGGCCAAGGCAGGAGGCTTAACATCAGGAGTTTGAGACCAGCCTGGGCAACAAAGTAAGATCCCATCCTATTTACTTTTTTTACTTTTTTAGATAAGGTCTTGCTGTGTCACCCAGGCTGGAGTGCACTGGTGAGATCACAGCTCACTGCGGCCTCAACCTCCCAGGCTCAAGCAATGCTCCCACCTCAGCCTTCTGAGTAGCTGGGATTATACGCATCTGCAATCATGCCCATCTAATAAAAAAACATTTTTAATGAAAAAAATTGTTTAAATTACAAAGCATTTTTACAAATGTTTAGAAGCTTCCTGCAAAGAGATCACGGCTCACTCCAGCCTCAACCTCCTGTGCTCAAGCAATCCTCCCACCTCAGCCTCCTGGGTAGCTGGGACTATAGGCATGCACAATCACGCCTGGCCAAAATAAATAATAATGAAAAAAAAGATTTGGCTGGGCACGGTGGCTCAAGCCTGTAATCCCAGCACTTTGAGAAGCCTAGGTGGATAGGTCACCTGAGGTCAGGAGTTTGATACCATCCTGACCAACATGGTGAAACCCCGTCTCTACTAAAAATACAAAAATTAGCTGGGCGTGGTGGCGTGTGCCTGTAATCCCAGCTACTTGGGAGGCTGAGGCAGGAGAATTGCTTGAACCCGGAAGGCGGATGTTGCAGTGAGCTGAGATTGTGCCACTGCACTCCAGCCTGGCGCCTGACGACAGAGTGAGACTCTGTCTCTCAAAAAAAAAAAAAAAAAGAAAAAGAAAAACAAAAAAAAGTTTTTAATTACAAATATTTTTAAACAAATGAGAGCTTTCTGGAAAAATCATTAAGCTACCAATTATCCAACTCTGCCTGTAGGAAATATGAAATCTACTTCTGGAATCCTTCACTCTGGTTTACCTTATTAAACCTCTGCAGAATGGCAGGAGGTTTGACAAGGACTTAGTCTGGCTCCAACAGATCTCGAGGAAACTAAAAGGAGGCTGACAGCACCCCCAGGCCTCTCTGTACTCGAGCCAGGCTAATTATTAAAACACGGACCTGTTTACAGAAAAGCCAGACAACCAACAGCCAGAGTAGAAACATGAAATAAATGAGATGCAAGCTTCTATTAAGTTGCATGAATACACTGCACACAGTGACAACCTCGAAGAAGTTAAATTATGTGGTCTTCTGGGCATCATTTTTAAAAATAAAATAAACAGCTACAAAGAATACCTATGTTATTGCTTAAACACAAAAAGATCTCTCCCTGTAATTAACATAAAAGCTGAAAGGCCAAGTTCTTTGCCTTAGGCTTTCAAGATTTTTTTTTTTTGAGACCAAGTCTCACTTTGTTGCCCAGGCTGGAGGGCAGTAGCACAATCTCGGCTCACTGCAACCTCCACCTCCCAGGTTCAAGCCAATCTCCTGCCTCAACCTCCCGAGTAGTAGTAGAGATGGGGTTTCACCATGTTGGCCAGGCTTATCTCGAACTCCTGACCTCAGGTGATCCACCCGCCTTGGCATTGCAAAGTGTCAAGATTCTCTTGAACCTCCTGAGAAACAAATAAACAAAAAAACAAAAGGCAGTTTTTTCTTTTCTCAGACAATGTCGTGCTCTGTCACCCAGGTTAGAGTGCAGTGGTGCCATCTCGGCTCACTGCAGCCTTGACCTCCCAGGCTCAAGCAATCCTCCCACCTCTCAGCCTCCTGAGTAGCTGAGACTACCAGTGTGCACTACCACGCCTGGCTAATTTCTGCATTTTTGTAGAGGCAAGTCAGGGTAGGCGGTTTCACCATGTTGCCCAGGCTAGTGTCAAACTCCTGGGCTCAAGGGATCCTCCCACCTTGGCCTCCCAAAGTACTGGGATTATAGGCATGAGCCACTGTACTCGGCCAGAAGACAGTTTCTAAATGCTCCTCAGTTTTTTCAAATTTAGGAAAAACAGGACATCACCCTATTTCCCAAATTGCCTAGAGGAAAAATGGTACAAGGAAAGAGATATACATATTCCGAGGCAAAGCTTAGAGTCAGAGCTCTGAGTGTCTGGCAGTAACTCCCACAGGAAGCCCTCATGACTCCCAGGGAAACTAGAGGAGCGGTCACACCTAAAACTTACCACACTGCTATGAAAGGCGTCAGCTGCACTGGCTCACACCTATAATCCCCAACTTTGGGAGGCCAGCGTGGTGGATCACATGACACCAGGAGTTTAAGACCAGCCTGGGCAACAGTGCGATACCCCATTACTACAAAAAAATGAAAGTATCAGCCAGCCATGGTGGTGTATACCTGTGGTCCAAGCTCCTCAGGAGGCTAAGGTAGAAGGATCGCTTGAGCCCAGGAGGTCGAGGCAACAGTGAGTTGTGATCATACCACTACACTGCAGCCTGGGCAAGAGAACAAGACTCCTGTTTCTTAGAAAAAGAAAAAGAGAGAAGAGGGAAGGAACTAGAGTAAGATCCACCCCTTCATATATCCTGAAGGACAGGCAGGAAGGCACCAAAGGCCAGGAAAGTGTGGTCTTACCCCAACTTTCCGCAGTAGATCTCCCACAATGTTGAGGGCTGAGATCCGGGCCGCAGGCGTGAGGGGCGTCCCCCCTGTGGAGTCGTCCAGGCCTGGGTGTGCAAAAGAATGTGCACATAACACATCAAGCTACAGGCATATCTATGATCCAAACCACTAGAGATCCAAAACCACGTGGACGGGAGGGACACGGATAGCTTCCCTTGGATCCTAGAAGCTACCCTATTTCTTTCAGTGGTTAACTGCATCACACACATAAGGCCTATATGACGACGAGTTTTTCAAGTCCTTGTGATGATGACTACATCAAATGTTTGTTTTTACATGTTAGTCATTTTTTTTTTTTGAGACACAGTCTTGCTCTGTCACCCAGGATGGAGTGCAGTGACACAGTCTCCGCTCACTGCAACCTCCGCCTTCCGGGTTCAAGCAATTCTCCTGACTCCGCCTCCAGAGTAGCTGGAATTACAGCCATGGGCCACCACACCCGGCTAACTTTTTAGTAGGGACGGAGTTTCACCATGTAGTCCAGGCTGGTCTCGAACTGCTGACCTCAAGTGATCCGCTGGCCTCAGCCTCCCAAAGTGCTGGGATTACTGGCATGAGCCACCATGCCTGGCCTTTTAAAAGAATTTTTAATAGAGACAGGATCTCACTATGCTGCCAAGCTGATCATCATGAACTCCGGTCTCATGCGATCCTCCCACCTTGGCCGCCCAAAGAGCTAGGATCATAGGCAGGAGCCACTGTGCCCAGTCATGTCAGTCTTTTTAAACAAATCCTTTTAAAATTGTGGGCAATCCATACAGTTAATTAACATAATGGCATCTGTGATAGATACAGGAACTACAGACAGGGCAATCCAGCTTTACAAGGGTCCTACAGAACCTCTCTTCTCCAAGTGGGGTCCATGCACCAGCGGCACCTGAGAACTGTCAAAACTGTACAATCTCTTGGCTGGGTGTGGTGGCTCACACCCATAATCCCAGCAATTTGGGAGACTGAGGTGGGTGGATCACCTGAGGTCAGGAGTTCAAGACCAGCCTGGCCAACATGGCAAAACCTCGTCTCTACTAAAAATACAAAATTAGCTGGGCATGGTAACTGGTGCCTGTAATCCCACCTATGCAGAAGGCTGAGGCATGAGAATATCCTGAATCCAGGAGGCAGAGGCTGCAGTAAGTTGAGGTCATGCCACCACACTCCAGCCTGGGCAACACAGCAAGACTCTGTCTCAAAAAAAAAAAGCAGAATTTCAGGCCCTACCCAAGACCCCCTGGATCTGAGGTACATTCTACCAAGGTCCCCAGATGAGCTACATGCATATTAAAGTGTGGAAAAATAGCTGGGCATGGAATTGCATGCCTCTAGTCCCAGCTACTCAGAAGGCTAAGACGGGAGGATCACTGGAACCCAGGAGTTGGAGGCTGGAGCGAGCTCCAGCCTAGGCCATAGAACAAAACCGTCTCTCTAAAAAAACAGAAATAAAGTAAGTAAACTGGCTCTAGACTGGGGTCAGGTGGAGCAGCTCATGCCTGTAATCCCAGTACTTTTAGAGGCTGAGGCAGGTGGATTACCTCAAGTCAGGAGTTTGAGACCAGCATGGCCAACATGGTGACACCATGTCTACTAAAAGTACAAAATTAGCCAGCCGTGGTGGTGAACGCCTGTAATCCAAGCTTACTTGGGACGCTGAGGCAGGAGCATCAACTTGAACCTGGGAGGTGGTTTCAGTGAGCCAAGATCGCGCCATTGCACTCCAGCCTGGGCCACAGAGTGAAGCTACATCTCAACAAAACAAAAGGCTCTGCACTGGGATTCTAGAAGTCTCACTGATCTCTTCACCACCAAGGAACGAGCTATAGGATAAGGCAGTAGATGGTAGGGTAAGCCCTGGAGCCTGCCTGCCTGGGTCTGAATCCCCATCCATCTGCCATTCACTTGCTTCATGACTCTGCTTAACTCAGGGCCTTGCTTCCATCAAATGGGGACAGCACTTGTATCCTTGGCCTGCAGTGAAGGTTGCAGGGTGGCTGGCGCATAATGAGCACCGAATAAGTGTCTGCTATTAATATCTGCTATAAAAGCCCTGATCGGAAGCTGTTAGAGGCACGGGAGTGAGAACTCAGATTTCTTGTTTTTTCTCCACACAGCACAGGTTACACCGAGTCTAGCTCTCAATGGATGTATTACCAGACCCATAGAATGCTTTTCACTTTTTTATATTTGGTTACTGACATTTCAAATTTGGGAGGTTTCATATTCAAAAAGAGGATTTTGGGCCAGATGCGGTGGCTCATGCCTGTAATCCCAGAGGTTTGGGATCAGCCAAGGCAGGAGGATCACTTGAGTCCAGGAATACAATACCAGCCTGGGTGACACAGCAAGACCCCATCTCCACCAAAAATACAAAAGTTAGCCAGGTGTATTGGGAGCACCTTTAGTCCCAGCTACCCCAGAGGATGAGGTAGGAGAATCACTTGAGCCCATGAGGATGAGGTTGCAGTGAGCCAAGATCCTGTCACTGCACTCCAGCCTGGGCAACACAGCAAGATCCTGTTTCCAAAAAAAAAACAAAAACAAAAACCCAACAACAAAAAAGAGTATTTCTGGCTTTGACGAAGAATGGAAAAAGCTGCAGATGAAGGGCCATTCCTTGTAGCTGCAGAGGGGCAGCTACTCCCTCTGGGTGGGGTTTCCATCTCCCACCTCACCACAGACTCCACCACTCCCTACTGCCTCCCATCCAGATACTCCTCATTGATCCCAATGCCCATCCCAAGGAACATCCTCGTCTACTGTCTGCTCAAAGCCTGAGAGCAAATCAGGCTCTGAGTCTGCTGCAAATCATCACACCCCCACGACCCACCCCAGATTCTTACCCAGGAACACTTCGTGAAACCAAGAAAATCCTCCAATTTCTACTCCCCTTACCACGTCTGAAGCTCCCGGGTGTGTTTAAACTCGAGCTGGGTCCTCGATGGGTGATAGGTGTGGATGGCAAGGAGCCCGTGGCCTGCACAGCTGTGTCTGTCCTCTCAGCTTCCACTGAGCTGGGCATGGGGGTCCTGGGTTTCTCCTGCTTCTGCTGCACGGCCAGTTCCTGCCGCAAATCTGTGCCAGGAAAAGGATTCAGGAATTCAAGTCCTCAGCAGGCACTGTGGCTCATGCCTGTAATGCCAGCACTTTGGGAGGCCAAGTCAGGGGGATCACTTTAGGTCAAGAGCTTGACATCAACCTGGCCAACATGATGAAACCCCATCTTTACCAAAAATACTAAAATTAGGCACGTGTGGTGGCATGCGCCTGTAATCCCAGCTATTCGAGAGAATGAGGCATGAGAGTCACTTGAACCCGGGAGGCGGGGGTTGCACTGAGCCGAGATTGTGCCACTGCACTCCAGCCTGGGCAAGAGGGTGAGACTTTGTCTCAAAAACAGAAAGGGAATTGAAGTTCTTGGCTTTGGGTTGGCGGGGTGCAGGAGGAGAGGTTCAACAGTAGATACTGGTCAGGATATAGATCTACTGGGATGAAAAACTCCAGCTGAAAACCCCAAATAAAGGGAAACCCACAGACTTGTAACTCTGCAGGATTTTTAAGTAACAAACAAACTGGTTTTAGATTTCTAAAAAGCTATGGCAGTGACACAGTAAGGCTTTTATTATTCAAAAAACAATTCCAACATAGCAGTGTATCTAGAATACTAAATGAAAGTATGCCCAGACGCAGTGGCTCACACCTGTAATCCCAGCACCTTGGGAGGCTGAGATGGGAGGATCATATCAATCCAGGAGGTCGAGGCTGCAGTGAGCCGTGATCAGGCCACCCCAGCCTGGGTGACAGAGTGAGACCCTGGCAAAAAAAAAAAAAAAAAGGTAGGGTGCAGTGGCTCACACCTATAATCCCAGCACTCTGGGAGACCCAGGTGGGAGGATCACTTGAGGTCAGAAGTTCGGGGTCAACATGGCAAAACTCTGTCTCTATTAATAATACAAAAAATAAGCTGTGTATGGTGGTGTGCGCCTGTAGTCCCAGCTGCTCAGGAGGCTGAGGCAGGAGAAATGCTTGAACCTGGGGGACCAAGGTTGCAGTGAGCTGAATTCATGCCACTGCACTCCAGCCTCAGTGACTGACACTTTGTTTCGAAAATAAGTAAAGTATGCTTTCTAGACTATTGCCAAACGCTCATCCTTTTGAGATGGAGTTTCACTCTGTTGCCCAAGCTGGAATGCAATGGCACATTCTCAGCTAATGGCAACCTCCAACTCCTGGATTCAAGCAATTCTCCTGCCTCAGTCTCCCAAGTAGCTAAAATTACAGCACACACCACCATGCCCCGCTAATTTTTTTTTTTTTTTTTTTAATAGAGACCATATTTCACTATGTCGGTTAGGCTGGTCTCGAATCGAACTCCTGACCTCAGGTGATCCATCCACCTCGGCCTCTCAAAGTGCTGGGATTACAGGTGTAACCCACTGTGCCCAGCTGTTCTCTGCATTTTCAAACATAAACTTTATAGATGTGTATATCTACTGAGCATAAAATAGGAAGGATTTTTATTAAGCATTAATGGAAACATACCACACGTCCCGTGTATGACTTGCACTCCCCACATCAGTGGTATGTCTTGGCAATCTTTTTTGTTTGTTTTAGAGACAGGTCTGACTTAATCACCCAGGCTAGGGTGCTTTGGCACAATCATAGCTGACTGTAATCACCAACTCCTGGGCTCAAGTCATCCTCCCACTTCAGCCTACTGAGTAGCTGGGACGACTACAAGCATATGCCACCGGGCCTACTAATTTTTTTACTTTTTATTTTTGTAGAGATGGGGTCTTGCTATGTTGTCCAGGCTAATCTTGAACTCCTAGGCTCAAGCAATCCTCTTGCCTCACTCTCTCAAAGCGCTGAGATTATAGACATAAGCCACTGTGCCTAGCCTTGGCAATCTTTCTACCACAACATTTCTATCTATACCTTGTTTATTTTAACAAACATTTCACAAAATAAATCTATGCACTCACTTAACCACTTCATTATCGATGGGCATCTAGGAACAACTACTTTTTTAAACTTAGAAATTTTTATTTTTAATCCCCCACCTACTGGTTCCACATTAGAAAGCAAATTAATGTTATAAACAATTGGGCCAGGAATGGTGACTCACACCTGTAATATCAGCACTTTGGGAGGCCAAGGTGGGCAGATCACCTGAGGTCAGGAGTTCAAGACCAGCCTGGCCATCATGGTGAAACCCCGTCTCTATACTAAAAACACAAAACTTAGCCAAGCACGGTGGTGCACACCTACAGTCCCAGCTACTTGGGAGTCTGAGGCAGGAGAATCACTTGAACCTGGGAGGCAAAGGTTGCAATGAGCTGAGATAGCGCCACTGCACTCCAGTCTGGGCAACAGAGCAAGAGTCCATCTCAAAAAAAAATTAATTGGAACTTTAAAAACAAACTTGGACAGTCCACTAATAATGTCCTTTTTTTTGGAGACAGAGTTACTATGTCACCTAAGCTAGAGTGCAGTGGTGCGATTTTGGCTCACTGCAATCTCCAACCGCCGGGTTCAAGTGACTCTCATGCCTCAGCCTCCTGACTAGCTGGGATTACAGGCACGAACCACCATGTCCGGCTAATGTTTTCTATTTTCAGTAGAGATGGGGTTTCTATATGTTGTCCAGGCTGGTCTCGAACTCCTGAGCTCAGGTGATACCCCTGCCTCGGCCTCCCACTGGGATTACAGGTGTGAACCACTATGCCCGGCCAAATGTCTCATTACGGTTTGAATGTTCTACTTCTGTAAGTGCCAACCACTAAAGGGCAAATGCTGACGAAGTTTCAAAGTTCTAAGCCAAATGTATCAGTTGCCATCAACTCAAAAAAAACAATAGACTAGCTGGCAATCCCACCAGAAATTTCTCCCCACAAAAGCTTTTTTTCCTTTTTTTTAAGAGACAGAATGTCATTCTGTCACCTAGGCTGGAGTACAGTGGTGCGATCATAGCTCATTGCAGACTCCACCTCCTGGGCTCAAGGGATCACCCCACCTTGGCCTCCTGAGCAGCTGGGACTACAGGCACATGCCTCCACACCCAGCTCATTTGTCTTTTTTTTCTAGAGATGGAGTACCACTATGTTGCCCAGGCTGGCTTGAACTCCTGGGCTCAGGAGATCCTCGGCCTCCCAAAGTGCTGGGATTATAGGTGTGAGTCACTGTGCCAGGCTCTCCCCACAGAACTGATGTTCCTACTGAGCATCAGGCTGGTTTGCTGTGTGTGTGAATTACAGACCAGGAGCATCTTTCCGGAAACGAATTCTGCTGCCCAGAGGCAGAACCCCAATAAAAGGGCTTAATCTGTGAACCCCAAAGCTATTTCTCTAAATACCTGTAAGGGGTCCTTACAGGGTCAGATGTGTGACTGTTTTCAGCTCCAGCCAGGGCCCAAGGCAAGAGTCTGCCTGGTGCAGTCCCCCACCCTCTGACTAGACAGGCTGGGTGCAGAGCAGGGTGCAGGGTCCCTGTAAAGTTAATGCTGGGAGAGGCTGTGGGACAAGATGTTGCTCAGGTAGAGGGAGGGTACCATGCTGGGAAAGACACCAAGGCCTCCTGACCTCTGGCTTCATCCTTCAGTCTCTGAACGGACTCCAGGAGATTCTCTTTCTCATCAAGTTCACTTTCCAGGAAGGCGTTTCTTTCGATGGCCTGATTTAAGCGCTGCTCAAAGTCTTCGAGAGACATGATTGTGGCTCTGCAGAAGAGAAAAGTAGAATTATCTAAGAGGACAAACTGCGGCATCCACCCAGTGCCGCAGATCCAGGAGGTGTGAAAGGTCAGATATACCTGGGCACAAGTCCTAGCACCAAACTTCCCAGATGCCACAGAGCAGAGCGAGTCCCTTAACCTCCTGGGGCATGGGCTCTTCACCTGCAGAATGGGACTCATTGTAGTACATGGGGCGCACAGGCTGTTGTGAGGATTAAAGAAGACGCTGCTCCACACAGCACTCAACAATACGCCAAAGGCCTATCAGGACTGCATGTGCCATCTGGTTCTTTGAGAAGAGCAGTATGCTCTGTCTTCTCTTGCAGACTCACAATGCCAACTGGTATTAAAAATAACCTAATAGGTGGCGTGCTGTGGCTCATGCCTGTAATCCCAGAACTTTGGGAGGCTGAGGTGGGTGGATCACCTGAGGGCAGGAGTTTGAGACCAGCCTGGCCAACATGGTGAAACCCTGCGTCTACTAAAAATATAAAAATTAGCTGAGGGTGATGGTGCGTACCTGTAATCCCAGCTACTCTCGAAGCTGAGACAGGAGAATCACTTGAACCGGGGAGGCGGCGGTTGCAGTGAGCCAAGATCATGCCACTGAACTCCAGCCTGGCGACAGAGTAAGACTCCGTCTCAAAAAAAAAAAAAAAAAAAAAAAAAAAAACCCAAAAAAAAAAAAAAAAAAAAAAAAAAGAAAGAAACCCAAAAAAAGAAAAACTAATAATAACCGGGTGTAGTAGTTCATGCCTTTAATCCTTGCACTTTGAGAGGCCATGGCAGGTGGATTACCAGAGGTCAGGAGTTTGAGACCCACCTGGCCAGCGTGACCAACATGGCAAAACCCTGTCTCCACTAAAAATATAAAAATTAGCTGGTTGTAGTATAATCCCAGCTACTTGGAAGGCTGAGGTGGAAGAAACTGCTTGAACCCCGGAGGTGGCGGTTGTAGTGAGCTGGAAAAAATCCTGCCACTGCACTATAGCCTGGGTGACAAAATGAGACTCTATCTCAAA